TTCTAATTATTCTTCAGCTGGGCTTGTCCTGACTTATTGTATATATTACCAACTCTGGGTAATCGTGAGGACAATAGTCTCTAAATTTCAAAAGACTAATTCTTGTGGTTGACTAAAAAGTTCACGAATGGGCAAGCATTGCTACATTACGATGTCCATTGTGTTTTTTCTATTGTAAGCAGATGACCATTTTGTGTTCCAACACAGGTATTGAAATCGAGTGAGACGTTTGGACAACAAAGATGGGTAGCATTTTTTTTTATAGGGAAGGACATGTGAAAGAGAGAATATCTGCGGGTGCGTGTGCTTGGGGTCAAAAGAATGGTCCCCACCCACCTAAATCCTAAGACGATGTTGGGTTTAACCCATTGAACATAACGATGGTCTTGTTGTTAGAAGAAAACGTGCCAAATGACGGGTCAAATTGAGTTCAATTAGATGCGGCGGTAATGACTCCCGTGCCCTTCTTGGACAAGTTCATAAAGAACACCGCCATGTGTACGCATTGGATAGATCGCACTAATGCTACAAAAAACAATAGAGCGATTCTCGGAATCGGATTGTTTGAAGTTATGTGATGAACCCTTGTTGGTACTCGAATACGCCATACTTTAGGCGCCAACAACTCTTCTCTCCGAACCATTTGTCGCTTGCCCTCAAAGACCATTCAAGCATTACCGATTGTATCGTCCAGCTCTTGTTGTGTCCATTCACATTTCTCTCGATGGACCAGTCCCTACCTAATCGAACCGCGAAAGTGGTTCATTTTCGTTCCGATGATTACTCTTTACCGAGCCTATTCGTCTCTCCTAGTCCCTCAGAAAACGGGGAATGGTTTGAAGGGATCCGACGGGTAGTGGTGGGCAAATGGGCCGGGCCCGCCTACGAATAGAGTGGGCCATTTGCTGCCTTGGGCTGGCACGACCTGCTACAATGGTGGCCCTGCCGTGCCTGGGACTAGGCCCGCTTCAATGGCCGCTGGTCCTAATTATTCCGAGTGATACAAGTGATCATTTTTTAAAAAATATTTTTCAAATCATTTGTTTTCTACAAAACAAACGCACACTACGTTTTAACCCTTTCTTTCGACCACCTCAATGGTATTGGGTGACAAACTCATCATCACGACTTTCGCTACAATAAGCCAGACTTCTCGATTTGTGGTGAACATAAATCGCTAGTTGCCCTTAGTTCACTTCCCACTGCTCCAAGAAGCACACTTGAAAACAATCAATGAAAATAATTGCAATCTAACGCCCTAAAATCAAAGGCAATCAGCAAACCTCTTGGAATCTTTCCAACTCATTCAAAAGAATTTCTTTCTTCTTTCTACATGTCGAGCACGAGAATTTTGATTATTAAAACCGTGAAAGGAGAAAAGAACCAACCCTTTTTGAGGGCAAAGAGAAAAAGAAAAGCAATCTTTCAAAGGATTCTTAAAAGGTGGTCATGTGAGGTCCATAGCTTGGCGCATAGCTTTTGCTTGAACGGTTCGGTGGGGCACATGCCCCCATTGAAATTTCAAGAGTACTCTATGTTACGTGATTTACGGACCTAAGTATGTCCCTAAAAGGCTTCATCTCAGTACTCGTCCAGATCTCGGGATTATTTGGATGTAAAACTTTTAGGGGGCCTTTTCATGGGAAATAAAAAGATACTGGGGGAATTTGGTGATGAATAAATAGTCGTTTTCTAAACAAGTTGAGGCCTCTGGAATTTTAGCGTCACAACTATACCTTTTGAGCTACTTGCGACTGTCCTTTGGCTTATTTGGAAATCAAGGAACAATTTCATATTCCGAAGACTGAAACCAAACCCAAATCAGCTGGTGAATTCAGCTCAGTTGAAGCAAAATGAAGCACGAGGAAGCAATTTAGGAAAAGGAAAAGCTGTTGAAGGCCAACACTTACCTCAAATTTGGCGAAATCCGCAACAGGGAGTCCTGAAGATCAATATTGATGCTTCCTTTATTGAAGGTTCAACTTCGAGGGCAGTAGCTGCTGTGATGCGAGATAGCTATGGAAGAATGGTAGATGGTTTTGCAAAAACAGTGAGGGCCGACTCTGCAACTCGAGCCGAGGTCAGTGCTCTTCTAGAAACGCTAGTCTTCTTCTCTGAACGGGCAAAGGATTGCCTTCTACTAGAGTTGGATAATTTAGACTTGGTTAAAGCCGTCACATGTGTAGATTATTCAAGTGGGATATACATGTGCTTATTTTGAAAGCCAAAGATCTGCTGGAAAATTTTACTGATATTAAGTTGGCCTTTTGTAATAGAGAGTCCAACAAAGTGGCAGACTGGATAGCGAAGGCTCAAAGAAAAAATGTTCTGCCACAGAATTGGAAACTCTACCCCCCTCCCGATCTTTGGAGTCTACTTTGTGTCGATGCTTTGCCGTTGTACTCACAAGCTAAGTCGTGAGAATTGTATGAATATGGTTCTTCTGATAAAAAAAAAAAAAACAAGTTGAGGCCTAAAAGGGGTAATTGCTATTTTATATCTTTTGCTTGTAAACGATAATATTATTAGGTGAGGTAATCTATGTTAAGAAATATGTGAAATATTGTCCAAGAAAGTGCACAACCTTCTAATTGAATTGCCAATGCATGTTCGAGATTATAAGACGCGATTATTATGCCTATTCTTCTTTTGCAAAGATAATATCGAACATGTTATGCACCTATGTTTTTTTTTTATTTAACTTAATCTTGTCACCATTATCGCTCGCGTCTTCGATTAAAAAAAAATTCATATCTTGTACATGGAAAAACGCAAAAATATGTATTGTTATCAATTTCGCTACGTTATGTTACAGTGCCCATTTCTTACATCTACAAATGGGAACGACATGTGATCTAATATTCATCAATAAGCCACGTGAATCGTGCTTCTATTTTTAAGGCAATATTTTCCCTATTTTCTCTCTAAAACATTCCGAAAGGATTCTTGAATTGAATAACGAATGATGATCGATGTATACTTAGAAATTCTAAAAAATTACACAAAACCTCTCTACACTTTAAGGGCAGTATCTCCTCCAGTTTTTCACAATTGCATAACACTACCATGAACTTTCAATTTGTTACGGTTGTTAATCCTCCCGTTTATTGTCCTATTAATTCTTGTCTCATGTTTTCCAGGTTAAAAATTATTTCAAAGAAAAAAAAATTATATAGGCCCTGTGAACTTCCAAATAACTGACACCCCTCTCAATTTCGTGTAAAATTGGATGTTTCTTCTTTCTTCAATTCTAGAGGAATAAAAAAGAACTAAGGTCCTTACCAAAAAAAAAAAAAGAACTAAGGCACCCACCTGCGCATGACCGAGTTGGTGGGCGCTTTCCTTCTCTCCTCAAAGGTTCTGGGTTCGAATCCCCGCTCGGTTCCATAATTTAAGTGGGGGGCCCTGGCGGTGGGTTGCTGGGCTAGTCTCCCCCGATTACCTGTGCGGGCTCATCCCCGGGGAATGGTGGCGGATCCTCAGTTACCAAAAAAAAAAAAAAAAACTAAGGCCCTTACCAAAAAAAAAAAAAGAACTAAGGCTATTCCACCTTAACGGTTGTTCTGCAATTGTAATTCCATGAAAAATAGTAATCAATCCATATCGCGAAGCAAACTTGATTCTAGAATATTTGTCGCTATGTACCGCTTGTTGTTAAATTTTGGATGGAAATATGAAGGGAAAAGTAATAAAAAAAAAGTTCTAAATCTATTGTATTGGTACTAATTCAATCATAAACATTTTAATTGGACCAATTCAGCCATAAACCTTTAACATATTGGCCAATTCAGTCCATACAACCAATTTAACCTAGAAATCGCTGACGCGCCACTGGTCATACGTGCATGAACATTTTTAATAAATTTTTTGATTTTTTTGTAATTATCTTTTCTTTTCCTTTTTTTTTTTGGCAATGGCTAGTCGCTAGCTACTGTCCACAAGCCATGGACTAAATTGGTACCAATGTAATAGATTTATGACTTTTTTTTATACTTTTCCCAAAATATGAATGAAGTCAATCAACACCGACGATTTTTTCGAGAAGTGAACATGGTTGAATTTTTTTTTTCTAGGTAGAAACAATCGTAATGGTGAACGTGAGGACTAGTTCTATTTGATGCATCTGGCCATTATTCCAAAGGAAAATTAAAATAGAAAAAAAAAAAAAAACGGTCGCATGCGCCTGTTCACCAGTTAGTTTCTTATAATAAAAAATTGTTCCAAGGACCACAAAAGCATAATGACATAAAAGAATAGTTTATGAGTATTGTATTATATAAAGGAAAAAGTCACAAAAAATCCAAATTATATTTAATTTGACATATTTATCGTGAACTTATTTTTGGGACATTAAAAATCACATATTATACCCACTGTGACCCATTAACCCTAAACTTATTCTTATGTAGTCATGGCCACGGGCCGGTTTCGGCCCGGAACCGGCCCGGTCAAACCCGGGCCCGGCCCGTTGACCGAGCCCACGGTTCGGAACCGGAACCGGCCCGTGGCCTAAGGGCCCGGTTTAGGTTCCAACAATTTTGGAACCGGCCTGGAACAGGCGGTTCCGGGCTCGGTTCCAAAAAAAATAAAAAAATTTAAATAAAAAAAATAGAAAACAGAAAACCTGCAGCAGGGTTTGCACGTCTACAGGCCCTGCTGCGACCCGTAACGGGCAAAAATAAAATAAAAAATAAAAAATAAAAAAAATAAAAAGATAACCGGAACCGGAACCGGCCTGGAATCGGCCGGTTCATACATGGCCACGAACCGGAACTGGCCGGTTTCGAACCATGGCCATGACTATTCTTATGTAACATATTTACCATTCATCAAAGTTTTATTAGATGATTTTTCAGCCAAAACAAATTATTCTTGTTTCACTTATGCCATATAAACACTGTTTACTTTTTAGCATACAAGTGAACGGATTTTTAATTATTCTCATTAATAGAATTTTGATGCGGGTAAATGGATCGTACCGGTACAAGTTTGGCATAAAATTTGGGGTAAATATGTGCTTGTATATATACGAAATCAATCAACACATGGGCCCAGCATCCCCGTCGGCCAAGACGGGGTTGCTCCTAAACACATCGCAGCCGTTCATCGATTCTGCATCTGCGGCGCAGATCCAATGATCGGCAGAAGCGTTAAATAATAAAAAAAAATTTGGATAGTGACATCCACCAATCCTACCTACCAAAAAAATAAAAGAAAAGAAATCAACGACGATAACAATCTCGTGGAACTGCATCCTACGGTCATAAGAGCAACATTCCCAATCCAACGGCCACGATCGCCCTTCCCGCCCATCGCGACCCGGAAGCGCGGGACTCGCCGCCGTCGCTGGATTCTCGCTCCTGCGAAGTGGACGGCGTGGACGACGAGCCGTTGTAGTTGGGGTTGCTGCCGTAGAGCACCTGAATCCCCTGAATGTCGTCCGTCGCGAGCTCCACCTTCCTCGTCCCGGACGTGATGGTCGGGAACATGATCGACTCCTCCACCGACGAGTGCCCGAGCCCGAGGAGGTGGCCGATCTCGTGCACCGCCACCGACTCCAGGTCGACCGCCGTCGACACCGACGACTTCGTCACGTCCCCGGTGACCACCCAGTCCTCCTCCCCGTCCAGGTGGAACCTCCCGTTCGGCGGCGAGAACGCGTGCGCCAGCGTCCCCAGTAACCCGTCGAAGGGCTCCCCGTCGCCGTGGTCCCCGCTGAAGAACCCGATCTTGATGTCGGCGGCGGCGAACGAGTCCGTCTCCGTGAACGTCAGGGGCGTCACCGTCGACCACCGTTCGAAGGCGCGCGAGAACACGGCCTTCGCCTCGTCGGTTAGCTGGTTCTGCGGCAGGAACGCGTAGGTCAGGTCGATCTTGCCGTCCGGCCAGCGCGGAGTCCCCGGGAAGAAGGAGTAGTGGCCGACGGCGTGGAAGTGCGACGCGTTGAGCGACTCCGCCTTGCCGGAGTTCATGGCCGTCGACCCGTTGACGATGTCGGGGTTGCCGCAGCGCGGCCGCACGATCTGATTGAGCGTGGCGGCGTCGAGCTGGCCAGTGGGTTCGAGGTTGAAGTTGCGCTGGTAGGTCTTGATGGCGGACTCGAGGGCGTCGTCGAAGTCGTCGGTGAAGTTGGAGGGGGAGTCCGGGATGTAGCCGAAGTAGCGGAAGTACTTCTTGAGCTTGGCAAGGCCGTCGCGCCTCTCGCCGGCGTGGCAGCCGGAGAAGTTCTGGAAGGCGTTCCAGGCGGCAGAGGGGATGTTGGGGAGCAGCGAGGGCGGGATGGAGGATATGTTGGGGAGGAAAGTGGCCAAGACCAAACCCGGCGGCGGCGGCGCGAGGGCCAAGCAAGCCACCACCGTCGCCAAAAGGTGAAGAAACCTCATGGTCAATTGATTGTAATTGCTAAAGAGAAAGAGAGGTGGATGTGAGGAAGGAAATGGGGGGGAGCGGTTGAAAACTTGAGATAGGAGGAGAGTTTGGGGCGTCTTCTTATGGGAAATGGTAAAGAGGAGGGGAATTGAGAAGAGATGGGGTCGAAGCCGGCGAGCAAAAGGCAGGCTAAGGAATGGAGGGGGGTTTGTGCTCAAAGGGATTGCTGTCGCGTTTGACAGGGAAGGGGGCTGGACTTTGACTTGTTCCGTGGGGGAGAGTTTCGTCTGACTTTTCTCGGGCACGAAAGCGTGTTACGAGAGCAGTGGAAGACGGCGGCGTTTCTGGGGGCTGCGTTGGAGGAGGAGGGCGACGACGACGACGACGACGACGACGAAAGAAGATCCACCCATCTTCATCCAATAGAGAGGTCGACTTCAACGTTGGGGATTGGCCGAACGGGGGACGGTGTGAACGACGTGAAGAAAGCCGTAGCGAAGGTACGTCGAAGGACGACTGCTCTGTTGGAAGGATCGCCACGCAGCTCTCCGAACTTTCCATCGTCTCTTTGAATCTAGGGGGTAGACGTGTGAAAAAATATTCTATGGACTGCATTATTTAAGTGATCGCAGGAGCTCCTTTTGGTCAATGAATATTGAAGCCGCACCATCTCCTCCTCCCGCGTCTACAGGGAGGGCCAATCACAGCTCTTCAATACCCTCCTCTTTCCTTGATTTTCGGTTCATTTTTTTAAAAATTTATTTTTGACTCAAAACGTGGTCATTTCGTGTGGTGATGACCGTGCCATCTTGGGTTATAAGGGATTCCATTGGACACGCGAAGGAAATAATTTAGACTCCATTTGTTTCGCAAAAAATAAAAGGGAAATTTCAAATAATGATCTAAAGTGCTTTTATTTTCTTAGATAAGGACCTAAAGTAAAAATTATTTTAAATAAGAGCTTGAAAAGACTATAGTGTTTCCAAATAAGGGCCTAACTCGCCGGCCAACTAAATATTTCGATCGATCCGAGGCATTTTCGTCCTATAAATAAAAAAAGCAGCCGACCCAACTCTCTTGCTTGTGGCCATCGCCCCATCGCCGGTGGAACGTCGCCCATGGCCGACGAGGTCATTGGCCCTCGCCTCAGTTTGGGCGAGGGTTGCCAACCCCAACGGCGATGGGCAGCGACCACAGGAGGAGGGCCTTGATTTTTTTTTTGTTGCGTGTTTTTTTATTTAATTTTTACCCTTGTTTACCTTTTTTAGTTTGTCTTTTTTATGGAAAATTTTTTGAATTTTTTTAAACCTAATTGTATTAAGATTTTGTGTAAAAATTAAGATTCGGGTCAAAAAGACGTTGTTTTAGTGTTTTAGTTAACCTTAACGCCACATGGCACATGGGAGAGATAAAATATTAAAAAAAAAAACCTCAACACAAAATCGAGTCCTAAGCAAAGCCCTCGCCGACCACTGGTGAGAGTCCCTCGCCTAAGTCCTCATTGGCCGTGGGCAAGGCGGTCCTCTCCAAGTATCGTCGGTGGCCGGCTATCGCCTGAGATCATCCACCAATGAAAAGGGAAAAAAATAGAAAAAGAAAGAAAAAGTAAATGACGAAAATACCCTTTGACCAGCCGATGAAGTCAAGCCCTTCTTTAAAACTAACATAGCCACTTCAGGCCTTTATTTGAAACAAAGTCCACTTCATGGCTTTATTTAAGAAACTGATGGCACTTACGCCCTTATTTGAAATTTTCCCGAAAATGAATGATTGGTAAAATGTTTTCCTAAAAATGATTATTTATATCGCTTACAAAAATGAATAAATGATAAATATTTTCATCGTTCACAAATATATATAGACCAAAATTATTATCGATAATGACATATTTTTCATTAACTAATTATTTCAAGCGATTATTTTAAAATTTTTTTTCCAAATCATTCCTTTTCAGTAAAACGAACGAATCTTTAATAAGAAAGCCCAATTGAATTTTTCAGTCTACTAAAAGCCAACGAGAAAAACTAAAATAGAGATTGGAATTTGATTGCATGTTAACATTTTAAAGTTAAAGAGAATGATTCGTATAAGTTTGGGTCAATATCACCAAAAATCTTAAATCGGTATATCTGTCACATTTATTTCAAATTAATTTTCGTGCTCACAAAAATACATTCGTACCGCATTTATTTCAAAACTAAATTTTGTGTCACAACAAAATACCAAACTTATATACTTATGACAAATCTACAAACATTTCAGAAAAAAATTAGGAAATTTATCAAATTTTGGTAACACGATGGAACTCTTAGAGCAAAATTATCTCAATTCATTTTCATGAAATTTGGCTTCCCACAACAACGTTGTTTAAGAGAGCCATTAACGTTAAAATTTTCTGTGTCGGATGCACGTCGAACTCGATCGCCCGAGTCGTTTGCCACATATCGCGTGCCCCCCTTTGCTGAGAGATTAGACAGAAGTTAATAAAGCGTAGATTGCCACGGGTGTACAGTTTGGAATATTTTTAGAAACACGAAAATTAATTTGGGTTGAACGCAGCACGGAAAATTAATTTTTCCCAGAAAATTTCCGTGCAAATTACACGCGGAAGCAAAATTTCGCCTCTGTTCCAGAAGGAGGAGATGGCGAGCGCGAGCCGAGCAGGGAGACGCGGAAGAGTCTACGAACAAGCCGAACACAACGTAGGGGAAAAATGGCGCCAAAGCGAAAGAAGAAGGAAGGAACTCCTCCCTCCGATCCCGACGGCATATTCGCCGGGATGGTCGTTTTCTTGGTCGAGTCCGGCGTCCAGCCTCGCCGTTTGCAGGTCTCAGTTTCTCCTCCTCCTCCTCCTTCTTCTTCCGCCAGCCATGAAAATCTTCACCTGTTAATGTGATCCCGAGTCAATCACTCCCTCTCTCCCTCTCTCTCTCCGTGTCCTTTGGGTGTGTGGCTACAGATATGGAAGCAGAAGCTCGCTCAAATGGGGGCGACTATAGCGGAGAAGCCGTCCAAAGGGGTCACCCACGTTCTCGCCATCGACGCCGACAAGCTTCTGCGGCAACTCGGGGAGCAACAGCTGGAGCGTTTCAAAGGGGTTCGTTTAATTTTTTTTTTTATTTCGTTTTTGACCCGGCATGTTTCTCGACCCGCTTCGCTTTTCGGCTTTTGGTTTGGTTTGCAAACTTGGACAAAGACTTTGAAAGCTATTCAGGCGGGTCCGCCTTCAGTCGAATTCTGTAGAAATCTAGAATGAGAAAACAAGTTAAAGATGGGGGCCTGCAGAATTACAGAGAGTGATGTCAGGGATATGTTCGAGCATTCGATTAGAATTTGCCGTCGGCGCTCCGTGCCGGACTCCCAAACCATTGCTCACCTTGTTTTAGCACGACATTCAGGAGTAGCATTTCAATGGGTTGTGCTTGCTTGCTTGCTTGCTTCCTTTAGAAATGCTTGGAAGCACAAGGTTGCATTTTTCTTCTTCTGGGTCAATGTGATTGATGTGCTATGCGCAAAGAAGTCATATGTTACATTTTCGGAACCAGGATTTGGATGGTTGTTCCTAATCAGGGTTGAAATGTTGAGTTCAACAGAATTTGCAGCAATTAGTGTTCAGCAGAAAGATTTTTCGCTGGAAGCATTTTGACAAAGTGTTGCTCATTACTTTTATCCCTGTACTTCCACTAGGTAGTATTACACCTCATTTCTGGCTAGTTCTCATAAAAAAATTATGCAGGAAGTCTGGACTGCATGCATGATTTGCGTGTGAAGGTTCTACTATATGGTCTGAACTGTTCATAGTTTTTCTTAATATTGTTTGACGGATTTTCTGGGCCAGATTTTCCCCTGGTTCACAAAGGTGTACAGTTGTATTGAGGTTTGGTTGAAGAAAAACTCACTCTAAACATGTTTCTTTGTATTGGCATGAATTACCTTGGAATTATCCTCTCAAAAGACAAAGGAAACTTTAGATTAAGATATGATGGAGAAAGATGAGTAACATTGCTAGGCAATAACTGATTTTCCTTCACTGTATCATTGTGAAATTCTTCTTTTACAGTTGATCTCAAGATAAAATAAAGGACAGGTGGTGTGTCAGGTAGTTGAAATTTACCACTTCCTTTCTCGTTGAATCTCTATGAAAAGGATCCTATGTGAGATTGTGCTGATGTCAGGATGTCGCAAGTAGCATGTTGTGTGATCTAAATACCTTGAGAAACGGGAATGGTTTTTTCTTGTTTGCTGAAAGAGAAACGGGAAGGGTTGTTACACCTGTAGTACTCACTCATCCTGACCAAGGAATTAAATGAATGCCATCTTCTATATCCAGCAATTATTCATATAAAGGCATATGTCTACGAAAGTACAGGGCATGGTATGCTAGTTATCGTGATCTAAGAAAATTAAGATATGACATGTTTTAGCTCACTGTTAAAATGGAATTGCAAATCCATTACGTCTCTCTTTAATGTTACAAATGCTCTCATCAGAAATGAAGAGATGTGGCTGTTCCATCTGAACACAATGACGATTTTGCAATTGAACAAATGGTTGGAAGTTGTATCTCCTTTAAAAACACTTCGCGTTATACTGTCAAATATAAATAAGCTAAAATGCTGCTTCAAGCTCCTTCACAAACTAGGCTTTCCATGTTGCTGCAAACTATAGAAAATGGCAGGTACATGGATCACTTCACCAAATGCACATATCAGATGTTGGTACTTTGTAGATTCACTCACTGCTCTTCCCCTATGCAGAAAATTCTTCTTTACCAGTGGCTAGAGGAGAGCTTGAGATCAGGGGAAAAGGTCTCCGAGGATTTATATGATCTGAAATTAGACTTAGAAAAAGAGAAGACACCAGAGACGCCTTTAGTTCCTAAACCAGCTGATGGAAGTGTAAGTATTGGCTATGAATCATCAAAAGGTGGAAGTATTAGGTCTCCTCCGCAGAAAAATGCTGAAGAGAATGACCTGTCTGAGGCAATAAGTAGCCCCAGACTTTCTGATGACTCAAGCCACTCTTTGAGCTCTGGTAATACCAGCCCAGGCCTCTCTGACATAACATCCAAGGATGTAAGTTCTAGAAGCCAATGATTCTAATGTGCTAATCCAACAATTCTCCCTCCTTGTTTTTGTCTATCTTAAGTCGGTTCAAACAATGATAGAAAATGAATTAAATTTAGAATCATAATCATGAAAAGATTTGCTCTAATCCTTTTTAGAGCTGAATAATTCTTTTGTGGCAATTAAGGGCGGGTTGCAGCAGTCTTCTTTGATATACAGGCCACCTGATCTAAACAGGAATGTGACTGAAATTTTCGGGAAGCTCATCAATATATATAGAGGTGACATTCGTCAACTTCCTCATGTCTTTTCACCAGTAACGGTCTTGAAGAACCTAATAACTCTGTTGGTTTACCCGCAGCACTTGGTGATGATCGGAGATCATTTAGCTATTATAAAGCTATACCTGTTATTGAGAAGTTGCCCTTTAAGATTGAAAGCGGGGACCAGGTGAAAAACCTACCTTCAATAGGGAAGGCATTGCAAGAACATGTGAGTTGCCATCTTTAGCCCGAGAGATCATTTCGATCTCTTTTTTGGGTTTATTGGTGTAATTCATTGTGGTAGTTCAATTGGGAAAATCCAATGGATTGGTAGTCTTCTTTGGTCAATGAGTGTTAAGATGACAATTTTTTGTTTTGAAATTAAGAGTGATTTTTTCTGGTTGTTGAATTTTGTAAACCATCGATGTTGCTGAAGTTAATAACTCTGCTTACCTTGCTATTGGTGAGGGGTTGTTGTTTAGAGAAATTTGCTTGTTTCTAGATTAGTATCTTTAAAAGAGAGCAGGCACTGATAGTTCTAACTTGCAGATTCAGGAGATAGTGACTACTGGCAAGTTGTCTAAGTTGGAGCACTTTGAAACAGATGAAAAGGTACACGAAGAGTTTATCCAAAGTTTGACATTTACATTTAACTACACTGCCAGTGATATAGTACCACTCAATAAATCCTGGTGCTTGCATATTTGAGCAGTTTCCCTTCTTTGTTTCCAGTCACAGGGTGCATCAATGCAGACACTGTATTGCAATATTTGCAGCAACCCAAAATTGTTTGACTGAATTTCTGTATCGAGATATTATCCCTTGGTTTCATGGAATTATGGATGGCCACATGAATCTGAAGTACTGTGTTGGTGTTTCTGAAAATACCATGAGTTTTGCTTTAAGTTTTTCTTATCTTGTTGTTTCCATACTTAACTATTCCTTGCTCTTTCACATCTATCTTGCACATACATGTTCGCCAACGCTGGGTCTATTCTTTTTGAGATTATTCTGTTCGGTGTTCACATTGGAGAGCAATTGAAGTACATATGTAGTTCAATTTCTTCTGTTTCATCATATTCTAGGTGCGGACAATCAGTTTGTTTGGTGAAGTTTGGGGGATTGGTCCAACAACTGCACTGAAGTTGTATGAAAAAGGATACCGTACACTTGATGAGCTGAAGAAAGAGGAGTCATTGACACATGCTCAGAGGCTAGGTTTGAGATACTTTGATGATATAAAGCAGAGGATTCCACGTGATGAGGTATTTTTCCTAAAAACTTTGCCAATCCTGGCACCTCCTGTTTGAAAGAATGATTTAGGATGATAGGTGGCATTTATGACCTAACCTGAAAGTTGGAGTTCTGCGAGACCCTACAGGGACTAGGAAAGGAGAAAAACATGTAGAACATTGGATATTAAAGTTGGAACTTCTGGTTTTACTTTATCTGCTACTCATGTTTCCCCAATTTCCTAGGTTCAAGAGATGGAGCAACTTCTTCAGAAAGCAGGTGAAGATGTCTTGCCTGGGGTGAGCACAATAAATTTTACTGCTTGATTTTCGTATTTGAGGAATTTAATTTTTTAACTGGATGCATATAAATTATTCTGAAATAGAAATGTGCTACTGCTTAAGCAGGGCTTCTTTTCATATTTAGTGAGGAAGAATCACTTTCACCTGCAGAAAGATAATACTGTTGAGAAGGTTTTGGTTCAGTGGGAAATTGGATCACCTGGTGACGTCGATTTCCTATTCATGGCCAGTGTCAAATAATTTCTTAAACTGCTAAACTCTGGGCTTTTTTTAGCTTGGCACAGATCTTTTGATCTTCATTCGTGGACTACTTTGTATTAGAAAGTTTAAAACTTCTTTGTAGGCCACAATTAATATTTTCTTCTTTGCCATGTTATACCTGTGTTCTTCATATGATTAGATTTAATGAAGCAAATGAACTGGTGAACAGTTAGACTATGTGGCAGAGTGATTGATGTCGGAGGCATCCTACCGAACCAGTCTAAGTACATTAAGATTGGATTTCTTACTATCAATTCACGATTGAATAATATCAAGAGACTAGCATGAGAATATGTGTTCATTTACGCGGTATGTAATGGGTGATGAGGTAAATGGAGTAGTTTGTTAGCCTTTTCCTCCTTTTTTATTCCAATATTTCCCCATTAATAAGGTTTAAGGAGCTTTTATTTTTTCAAATCCGTGCATGTGAGCCAATAGATATATATACATCTCGGCACGTGCATACTATGTATATAAAAAAATTATCACATCATTCAAGTTCATGTAATTTTTGACACCTTTCAGCATTTTACCTCTTCTCTGAGCTAAGCATGTACTTATACGGACTCGTAAAAAATACTTGTCATGTTGCTAATTTGGTATGATTTGTGCCACTGACACCTTTCAACCAAGTATGTGATTTGGATACATACTTAACATGTTTGGTTAACAAATTATGCATGAATATTATATGCCATGGTTGGGAGGAGGGGGTGAGGAAAATTTGGGGAGAAAATAGACAAAAATTTAAAATTTTCGTCCTCTCCTTCCCTTTAAAAAATTTGAAATTTTCATCATTTTTTGTCCAGACTTTCATTTCCCCCAATTTTGCTCCATTTCCCAAACATAATAATTCAATACCACCCGACTTCCACAGTACCTAATAGGTTACTCGGCCAACCACATTATAAAAATGTCAGACATGTGCATATAATGACTTTTGCCTGCTTATTAATGCAATACTTCATATTGGATAGGTTCTTTTCATTGCTGAATATAACAAACACAATCTACCATAAAATAAAAGCTTAAAATATATATGATGTATAGTCAGTCATATGTCAATAGTGAATCTAATGTTACTTTGCAATCAATGATTCAATATTTCCTTTTGACAGAAAGAATTGAACAATCAAAGTTAAAACCAACCACATAAAGTTTGTCTATTACAGAAGCCTAACATAGGACACTCTTGTTACGATATTGTTATTTGCAACTCTTCTCATCATATTATCTGGGCAAGAGATCTTAATTTGATTTTCTTTGTTATTATTTGCAATCTAGCTAAGTAGGTGATATGCACCTTATAGTATATTTGGAACGTATATCGTACAATGTGACTATGTAAGAGACCTAGATTCATTTTATCTATTCTCCATATATAATGAGCTCATTGAACAATTTTGCTTTTGTTGTGCTCAACTAGTTGTAAATAAAATTTATTTTGAACTTCAAAGGGTTGCCCAAGTGGTAAGCGTCCTAACCTTTGTTGCTCAAGGCCTGATTTTGAAGCATCATGTTTAGCGCATTCTCTTAGACTAGCTCCAGGAGAAAAAAACCTGTGACTTTTTATAATTACCAGCTGTCTGAGACGTGGGCACTGCCACAACCAATGGGGATTATTGGCTGCTTGCATAGCCTTGGATTCCCTATCACTAGCCCAGAAAAAGTGATAAAATTTATTTTAACCAATTCAACCCTCTTACAGTTACCTGTTTTTGGGACTAACATATTTTCCACTTCTAATAATGAAATTGCTATTTGCTTACCTATGCATCATCGCATGAGCATTTTCTAGTTATATTAATATTTTATCTCATGCAGCACGTGTACTCGATCGGTGGGAACTTGTACATATTTTGTTTTGTGCCAAACCTAGTTGCACTGCAGGTTCATTGTTTTACTGGAAGATGTCTTACAACACATTTGTACTTGACAAAAGCTATAGGCAGAAATTGATATTTGTATTTAACTTGTATAATACTTTAAGGTGATTGTTGTGTGCGGAGGATCCTATAGACGTGGGAAAGCTTCTTGTGGCGACTTGGATGTTGTGATTACTCATCCAGATGGAAAGAGGTATTAAATTATAGGTCACTTGGGTTTGCTACGGACTTTGCATGTTTCCACATCTCAACAAATCAAGAATAATTTTGTATCTGGTTAAACTTATTACAGGTTGAGGGTTGCAGAAAACATTCTCTGTTGATTTACTTATTTGTATGTTGTTGAACTTATGGTAACTAATAGTCACTGAAATGTCAAAGTTCTCCCCTGCCTTTCTGTGACGGTGTAGAAAGAACACTCAATGAAATTGTGTCCTCGAGTGTTTTGAAAAAAGCAGAACCTTACTCTGTTTCTCAAGAACCCAAATATTTATTTCTTACAAGTCAATTGAGATATGTTTGTTTTAGGTTGTTGTTACAAGTTGACAGAACCATCATCTTATTAGTCATTGCTCATGATAGGGATAGCTTGTATTTAGTCTGTCAACTGACGAAGGTGATTGCTTGAAATTCAACTGTCAAGTTCTCTCTTTTGATTGTTTACTGTTGCGTAATTGTGCTTGCTGTCATGCTCTGTGATAGGTATAATTCTGGCTTTGTTTCTGAAAGCTGATCTGATTTTCTTTGTCTCCAGTCACAGAGGTTTTCTAAAGAAGTACGTGAAGCATTTAAAGGATATGGGGTTTCTTAGAGAGGATTTGATTTTTAGCACTCACAGTGAGGAGGTAAGTTTGTTCGAAATAGTCCACACATGCTAGTTGGTGCTAGACCTTGGATAAGTTAAGCTAATTGTAGATGCTAATCATAGAAGGCTGAATTCTGAGGCATATAATAAATGCTAATCATATGAAGTTAAGTTAATTGGTATCTTGTTTCCGTGATTTAAGTTGTATCCTAATTAAAAACGGTCTGAAGCATATAAAAATGATGGAATTTTATGCCTTCTGTAACTGCATTTTGCATATAATTAGTACCCTAACTGAAAACAGTCTGAAGCATTTTTCCATCTTTGGTTGAATTCTTGTTTTAGGATTATGAAGAAAATAGACAACAATTACTGCTTCGATATTGTGATTGTTAGGGAGAGAATTTTGATCAAGAGGAAAAATTAAGTAGAGCAAATGGACTTTCTTGGCCGAACTTTACGGACATAAGTGATGCTTCCACATTTGTGATTTATTTCTTTGTCCTAGCTTATCTTTTATTTTTCATAATTGATGACATGTCTTCTGCACCATCTGCCTTCATACTTTCTTCAGGTACTATTTCTTTTCTTCTTACAACATCATGCTCCTCATATTCTTAATAAGTAATCTTGGCAGGGTGCTGACTCAGGTGTTGATACATATTTTGGTCTTTGCACCTATCCTGGAAGAGAGCTGCGTCATCGAATAGATTTAAAGGTACTTGACTAATGTTGACTCTGATTTCCATGTATCCCTTGAGGTCTGAGATAATTATTTAGAATAGAAGATCAAGAACATATGAGGCACTCAAGTTACTGCTCGGCCATGTTTAATGTCCTGCCTCATATGCGACTCAGTTGTTCCAGAGTGCCACTTTGTGAGGGATGAAAGGATTGTCCGACACTTTATCTGGGTTGAACCCCTCCCTTCCTTTTCATTTATAATCTTCTGTCGTCTGAAATTCTTCGCTTCACCATGGCTTCAGGTTTAATCTGAGCTTCAATATCCTCTAGCATACTCTTAGTAGGAACTTTTGTTCACTTATTTAGGTATTTCCCCGGGAGATATATGCATTTGGACTGATAGCTTGGACTGGGAATGACGTCTTAAACAGGAGGTATGTTCAGCAATTCAGGAAGATGCAATACTTGATCTCTGAGTTTTTGAAATCTACTACTTGTGAAAACTTAGCTGAGAAAGGAACATTAATTGAGCCGAGCTTTTGAATCTTGTAAGGATGTCCCTGTAGCTTATTGAAGAGCTGTTGAGACGATAGAGGCTTTTACTATTGCCCGTATGACAGCAAGCACAAACTAGTTGGATTTACATTTGAAGAGGAACATCTACTGTACTCCTGGATTAACGTCAAACTCTTATAAAGTTTCTTTAAAGTGATCCCAACAGTTTTCAAGCAGTCAAGTAATTCAAGATTAGTGATCCACGGTTGACCAATGTTTCTATAACTGTATCATTGATCAATTGGATTGGTTTCTGCTACCCGGTTAAACTGATAAAAAACTTGATTAGAAGCTGGACTTGCACTCGGTTGAACCAGTACACATTTAAACCTCTGTTCATGATTACCGCACAAATAAACTTTCCATCTTGAACAAGCGCTAGAAGTCATCTCTCTGATCAGTTCATGCACAGCCAAAGAATCTTAAAGCATTTGACGCTGATACGATGATGTGATCATAGAGAAATATGCCATTTGCTTTATATAAACAGCACACTCTTGATTCCACTCGGTACAAAGATGCCTGCTCTTTGATTCATATTCTGGTGCAGGTTGAGGTTGCTGGCAGAGTCTAAGGGATTTAGACTCGATGACACTGGACTCTTTCCTGCAACTCATGGTTCAGGCGGAAAATGGGTAATGGCTTAGCCCTTGTGCCCTCATATGGTGCTTCGCGATTTCCTCAATGGTTCCTCATGCATGGCATGCCTTTCTCTACTGCAGGGTTCAAAGGGAAGCACAAGCATAAAGCTGTATACAGAGAGGGAGGTTTTTGATTTCCTGGGTTTCCCTTGGCTGGAACCTCATGAAAGAAACTTATAAGTTAGATGGTCGTTCTTCGGCTGTATATATATATATATATATATAGGATGCCGAGGCCGAAAGGATTGAGAGGGAGAGGTGTAAATAGAAGGATTGACATGAAAACTTTGCTTAGTTGTACAGCCAAGGAGTGATTACTGGATTTCATGTCAATCCGAAATTTCCCTGATTTCTTGCTCTCAAGTCGTAAATAAAAGTTTTGGATGGACTGGAATGAAACTATAATTTCTGTCTTCCATTTCGATTGCACAGAATGTTCATCGCGCTGCTAGAGTTCTCTTGAACTTGATAATTTGGAGGTTACTTTGTCAAGGAGTGAAGGAGTATATTCGTTGACTCTTTAAATATGCATAATGATAATCAATTTTTTTATTGATCTTTTTATTGGTGATGCTTTTTTTTCCTTTTTATTTAAGTTATATTTATTATTTTCTTGATTTATGTTATTCAGTTCTATTAAAGTAGCTACATATATTAAATTTTCACGAATTTTTACTGTTTAATATTATTAGTGATATTTAGTTTTTCTACTATTAGTATTTCATTTAATTTAGGTCTCTCCTATTGTCGATATTTTTTATTTTGTTACAGAATTAAGAGTGAAAAAGCTTTTCAAATGAGAGGAAAACATACTTTTATCCCTTAAATAACAGGTTTAAGAACCGTAATAAAATGAAAGTTTAGAGGTTTTGCGTAATAGTTGAAAGTTCATGAACAAATGTCTAGTTTTGTCTAATGTAATGAAAAATTTCAAATAAGTGTAAAATGGGTCTCTCAAAAGATGCTTTATAATGGATTTTGTTTTAAATAAGGGCATAAAGCAGTCAACTTAATCTCAAATAAGGGCATAAAGTAGGTAACTCACTCTGAAGTGGAGCCGTTTTCGCAAAAATGGGTCTAGAGTGAACAGTATATCAAATAAGAGCATAAAGTGGCCAATTTAATTCGCCGATCAACAAATCTTTGGCCGGCCAACTTGCACATGCAACTCATGTGCTTATTCCAATGGCAACATAGGAGTAACTTTGTTCGAAATTTTCTTTTTTGACCCAAATTCAAAGGGTTCTCCAAGGGTCTTCTAAGGGCAATTTCTCGTGTAATATCATTGATGAAGTTTCTTTGTTTTGATCGTGTGCGTCATTCTTGGCTCCATGATGTGGTCGCCGGTATAAGCACATGAGTCGCACATGCCAGTCGGCTAGAGAAGATATGTCGTTCTTGGCTCCATGATGTTGTTGCCGGTATAAGCACCAGAGTCGCACATGCCAGCCGGCTAGAGAAGATATGGCCCGGCAGTGAGGTGGAGTTCTTATTTAAGACTAAATCTCCGTTTTCTTTGCGAAAAATAAATGATTTAGAAAATATTTTTTTAAAAACGATCTTTTTATCACTACAAAAATTGTCAATCATCCATAAATCAATAATAAAAATATTTTACATTAATTAATTATTTCCATCAATACTATTTAAATATAATATTTTTTTGTGAAAAAAACGGAATCTAATTTTTTTATTTTTTCCGAAGCCGGAGCCTATTTAGACCACATGAGACCCCTTGGTGGGGGGTTTGCTAAAACCCTGCGGTCTGGTTTCTCAGTGGGATAGAACACGAAAGTGAGAAGAAACGGAGACGATGATGCTGCTCTGGACCGTCGTCTCTCCTCCGCCATTATCGCAATTCCCATTCTCCCTCTCCTCCTCCTCCTCTACACTTCGCTCTCCTCTTCCTCCTCCTCCTCCTCCTCCTCCATCTTCGAGAGTGTTCTCTTCAAGCTCGTCGCACGCACGCTCCACAAGCGAGCGCAGAGCCCGAAGCTCCCCTTCCTTCAGTCACCTCGCGTCGAAGCTTCATCACGCCAGCCACATCTGCAGAGCCGCCGAGTACAAATTCCCCGACCCAATTCCCGAATTCGCCGATGCCGTGAGTTCGACTCTGCTTTAGCCCTTCCCGACTTCTCCTTCTTCTTCCTTGTCGTCATTTGGGTGCTTTTTTTTTTTTTTAATGTTTGGAGTGCTTAAGGCCGGGTTTGTGTTTGTGACATGGATTTTCTCAGGAGACGGAGAAATTCAGGACCCACCTGCTGACGAAGCTCTCGAAAAAGGATCTGTTCGGCGATTCCATCGACGAAGTCGTGGGAATCTGCACCGAGGTCAAGCTTAACTCCTGCTCGTTATCTTCTGAAGCTCCTATTATCTTGGACTAGAGCCATATGATTTCTCTATTGAGATTTTTTTGGATATTGATGTTGAACAAGTATGGCCCTGCATTCTCGCTCTTCCGATTATCTTAACGGTTTCTGAGGAAGAAGAACGTTTCCTTCTGATCTGGGTCAGTTAAGTTGTTTGTGCTGGTGCATGTTGGTATGACTGAATTTGTAGATGTTTGCACGGATATAATTTACTTTGTCTTCTTAATCTCTTAGGTAACTAATGTATTTATTAGCTGAGGTCAATTGTTACTCGAATGGCTTGTTGTCTAAGTGCCTAAGTTTCTACTATGGAGGCACTGTATAGAGGTACAGTCTCATAGATTGAGCCCTTCATTTGCATCTTTCCTCTGTGGCGCGGAGGCAACAGATTTGTTTGACATTGGTCGCTCAAGTTAGGTGGATCGGTATTTCGGGGGTCAAGCCTTACGGGTTATTCACGTGAACTTTTCATTTCATCTTCAGTTCGTATGGTCTCAAATTCTACTTTGACAAACTATCTATAGGTTGCAGTGTAGAAACCGATTTGCTACCTCTTGAAAGATCGTGGCTTGAGGAAGAAAAAAAGATCTTCATGCTGTACTGGCACTATTGACAAGATTTTCTTCAATGACTTACTCTTGTGAAAGTAGAGCTTCCTCACCGTTTGCTCCTCTATAATTAGTTTCTTTCTTCATAATATGTATCTGGAAGATAAAAGTGTTGAAGTTGGCGAATACTTCGGGGACCCTTGTTTCTCATACCAGGCACACTCACGTGAGTTTAGGGAAACTGAAGTATGAACCGACAACATGTGACCCCTACGCATGGAATGTCGAGGGTCCCGCTGCCTGGACAGCGGGCAGGGGATGCGGGCTCGGGGGCAGCGCCCCTGAAACAACATCGGGTTTTTTCTTTTAGGCTTGTATCTTAAGATGACTCGTTTGTTGTGGGATCAAAGGGATTCGGATGGGCTTTGGGCCCATTTTTAGTCCTATATATTGTACTCGTATGAGAAATCATTGTGACGAGTGGTTGTGGTTGTAAACCTAAATATCATAGTGGAATCTCTTTGTAGGACGTAGCCCTATTCTAGGGTAAACTTGGGTAAACTCGGGTAAACTCGTGTGTCAATTTTTCTATTATCTGTGTGATTGTTCTGATTCTGTTTAGGATATATCCCATCAAAAAGCCTTTAATGGCTTAGTCTATGGGATGAATTGCCGTTTAAATCATTTGGTTGGACATTCTAAAAGAGAAGGACAAGATGTCTTTCTGTTTCTAATTAATTCGAAGCATCTCATATCCTGACAATTGGATGCACATAGGAATTCTAACTGGACTGTGATCTACAAAAGTTGATATGGTCCAATTTCGGGCATACATTAATTTGTATATATCTACACTCCCTGTTATACTAGTGTACCCTTCATGTGTCGTGTTGAGATTTTCTTGTGGATTTTCATTTCGTACATAGCCTGCGTGTTTCTTGATAGCTATGTTTGAATCAGAATAAACTTTTTGAGATACAAATTATCTGGCATATGTCCAAAATAGTCTATGTAAATCAAACTTTCACTTATTGTATGCACAATAAAAATCCCTCATGTGTCATGCCATTGCTGGTAGATTTGTGTATAAATGCATTGATGCCAATAACTTATGCGAGATGTGATCTTTTTCCGCAGATCTTCAGTACTTTCTTACATTCTGAATATGGGGGACCGGGGACTTTGTTGGTCATCCCTTTCATCGACATGGCTGATACCATAAACGAACGAGGGCTTCCCGGAGGACCACAAGCTGCTCGCGCTGCAGTCAAATGGGCTCAAGGTCATGTTGACAAGGACTGGAATGAATGGAATGGCGAGGATAGCAGTTGAAATGGAGTTGCCAAACCTTATAAAAACTTTAGCCAGGGTTCTGTAGTATTTAGGTCCGCCTTTTTCATGTCTCGCTAGTATCTAGTGTTTATTCTGAGAAAACATTTTTTATAGTGAGAGATGTTACAGAAATTGAGTGAGCCTCGAAGTTTAGGTTGGCCAAGCAGTGGCTGGTGAAGGTAGTTTGTGTCTCAGCTGTTCTTGAGATTGAGATGTAAGACACCATGGAGCAAAATCTGAGATGATTCGATTCGTCCTCCATTCTTAAGAGGAAAGCAACTCGGCAATTTCCTCGTTCGCTCATGCCCTTTTCATTTTATTCTCAATCTTTTGAGAAACATTTTTTTTTATTGTGGGACAGTTGATAGTCTAAGGTTCATATTCACGATTGAAAGATGTAAGAAAGAAACGGTCTGTAATCCTCTAAGCAACAAGAGGTTTCCCGTTTAAATTTCTGGGGGATCATACGAAAGATGCTCAGAGAGGGGGAAGAGGGTGTAACAACCTTTTAAGGTTGCTTGAAAAGTTTGGCTCAAAAATTAAAATTAACTACTAGGGGAAGGAGATAATAGAATAGATAAAGATGATATAAGATTAAAATTAACTGATGCTACTTGTACTGTTCATGACTCCAACAAGAAAAAAAGTTTAAGACTAACTTCGTGACCTGCAATGTCATGTTCTTTCATCCCAAAACTCAATCAAGAGAGGAACTAGATCACGGAAACCATTTACAAGTGGGAAACTTATATATGAAGTAAATGCCAGGCAAGCAAAAGTATTTACAAAGCTGATCGACTTCGATCCAAGATTTCATCCTTGTCTATGAAGCGCTCGAGCATATCCTGCTCTCGTAGAACCAAGCAATCTTCTTCCTTCCCAAACCAGTCATATCGCCTTTTGGCAACATAGTCATATACTGCATCCCTAACTGGTGTTGGTACTACCAGTAGTGTGCTGAGAGCAGAGTATGGCAGCGGCAAGTAGGACATCACTTTTAAAGCAGCTGCATGATCATAGTTAGATCAAAGGAATTAGCCATGAGCTTCTAGTCATTCAGCATGCATTTGGGGAGCTGCAAATATCGACTAAACAATTTATAGTCATAGAGAAATGTGAAATTCACAGACGAAGTTCTTGCCCACGTTCTCGCATGGACAACTAATTTTCTAGGAATGCAACCAATTCGCTTTGGATTGGTAGAGTTAAAGCCTAAATCCAACTATTTCATAAGAATTTTCATGGTCCCTCACATCCTTTATGTTGTGTGAAAGCATGAGATATGTCCTGAACAGGACCAAAAACACAAGCTACAGTGAATTAGGTACTGAAAATCAAAGAATTTAAACAATTTTTGGAATTCATAGAATCCCATGTCTCAAGCATCTTCTATAGATGGAACCCTGAACTTCCCCGTCCATGGTTGAACACATGCGCTACCAGACAGAGACAGACAGGAGCCACAGCATATCTATTTACTCTGCATAGCAATATCACGCCAGAGTACACTGTCCATGCAAAGGGACCAAGCATGGAGAAAATTTCAATATCTTGATAGAGGGGAAACACATATCTACAAGTGACTATGCATCTATTAAAGCTACACGTGTGGACTTGCACACTAAAATGGAGATGTTACCGATCAAGAATCCAAGGTGGAAAGTGATAGACTGGAGTCTAAAAGGGAGGCCAAGGTGAATGACCGAGGATACAACCACAAAAGAACCTCCAACAAGACTGGTATATAGACAAAAGGACCGACAAAAATTCAAAATGAATGCAGCTGTTGCTTCTCTGGCCTTCAAGGCTTTGAAAGAAAGTGTCCATGAATACAATCCATCAACACAAGCAATATTGAGCCAGTGAAGTTAGAATGTTTATCCTAGCATAGTGGCTGCAATAATCGAAATAAATAAGATCCAAGATGAAAGCTAGCAAGTGAAATATGAAGTGATGAGTGACCATTCATGGTGTTGCTCTCTTCCTCTCTGCTCAGTGCTAGCCCTTCTCACATCTCACCAAAAGCGATCCTAGCATGTGCAACTCTTGCCCACCAGAAACCTCGAGCAACTACGTTACTCAGTGATCATTATTGCAAATTGAAATTTTCAACACCCACAAAGAACCTAATCATTCAAAAAAGAAAATAAGAACACACATAGAACTCTCTCAACCAGGAGAGGTCAATCTACATTGTGTACCCAAAAAGGAAGAGGGCTCTAACCTGTAGATGCTATGTGGTATGATCCAGGCCCTTCAATGAACAGAAAGCGACGAAGGACATCCTCTTGTTCGAGACCACAGAGTCTCATGTATGGTTCTGCAGCCTTGGATTGGAGGCAACAGAATTTAATCTTCCTGTGTTTGTCCGCTTTGATAACCCACTTCACCCCTGACAGTCCAAAATCAAGACACACAAAGGAAACTTATAAAAAATCATTGAACTAGGCCTCCAAGCCAAGCGCCAAGAATCGGTGAAGGACAAACCAATGGCAGTTAGAACCATCGAAAGAAAATGCAATATAAAAAGTGTGACGCCGACGGATAACCAACTATGATGAATGCAAATTAAGTAACATATGAGACTACACAAGGAGTAGTTCTACTGCTACAGAATCCCAAAAAGCCATTCCTTGAAGGGATGATCAAACATGTCAATAATCTCTCACTTGAACAGCATCCGTCAGGCAAAGTTTCAGCGGATGATCAACAAAACCTCCCACACTCATCGGCATTGTGAACAAAAAACATCATTACCCACGATTAACAACACGGTAACAAGAACAGAAGCACGAGGCCGACATACTATTACTCGCGATAAGATGACAATCAGTCCCCTTAAGTGCAAGTTCTTGATGAGGTTCGCGAGTAATTCAACGCATACAATTTCCACGAAGGAATAAAAAAAGCAGGATTTTGAGAAAGCTGGGAAAAAGAGAAGGCGCGCATTTTGAACTGCAACCCCAGAAAAGAGAGAATTTCCATAAGGTTATGAATGAATAGGCAAACAAGTGTCGATGTTCGGACCTCGGTGGCAGAGATGGCAGACGCCGTCGTACACCACCACGCGGGGCTGGAGCACGGTCGGATCCGCCGCCGCCGCCTTGACCACCGAGGCCGCGGGGAGGCCCAGGCCCTCGTCCCCCTCCGCGTCCACGTCGGCGGCGACACCGGACCGGGCGACCGCGGCGGCCCCGGCCCGGCGCGAGGGCGGCGAAGAGAAGCGGCGCAGCAAAGAGGAGGGAGAAGGGGCGGCCGGAGGAAGCGAAGATCGGGCCGCCCCGGCGACGGCGAAGCTCCGAGCAACTCTCGACAGGACTGCCGCCATGGGTTTTCCAGCTACCAGAGCTCCCCCGACCCTTCACTCAGATCATCGTCGTTTCCGGAAAGAGCGGTCGCATTTCGGAACCGGTCGACGAAGCCATGGATTCATAGGGCGTGCCTTGCTTGGCTCCCAAGTTCCTCCCCGGGTCGCGCGCTGCTCGTGCGGCAGACCAGGCTTTCCATCGAATACCTGGTGGAGCTAGCGTGGATCGTCTTAGCGTCCGAAGTCTTTTCTGGGCCACCATTGAGGACACCGAAGGACGAGCCCATCATCACGACCAGTCCCATTCCTTGACGAAAACGACGGTGCACTTCGCATGTTGAACCATTTGCCACGCTCCCACTCGGGATCTTTTCTAACGAATATACACCGGTCGGTGAATCATGCTGCGTTTGCTGTCTTGTCCGCCACCTGCTAACTTGTTTCGATGTTGCGCTACGAGGTTGCTTGAATAAGTTCGGAGTTGTCTTGATTTAGTGAAATTCTAAACGATGTATACTCAAGTCGGGCGACACTTCCCGTCCTCTCGTATCCTTCTTTCGCTCTCGGGAGAATTCGGGTTCCCTCGGTTCCCACAACCGCTAAGCTACATATCCCGCCGACCGCCTAGGTTCAAATTAGGCAGTACTTGATAGAAAAATGTCTTCCCTCCAAATGCTTTTTTTGGTGCGGAAACGAATGATTTTTTACGGTGCAGAGCGAGGAGTTGCGAGTTTAAAGGGGTGCTAGCAGCAAAGATACATGCCGACCGATGCTCACTGACGGCGCCAGCTGAATAAAATGGCGGGCATCGATGAGCATAAGCAAAGCGATTCTCTTTTAATAGAGACCATACTACTCATGGTAAGGTTTTAATGGGGGAACCTGCGCAATCAGATAGTGATTCATCTCTGAATCAAGCGAACGGGAGTAGTCATCGGGGGAGGCGGTCCGGATCGAGTGATCATGTTGCATCCTCATTTACATCAGTAATCCAAGCTTGAACGAAAAATTTGACATAATTGGAGAGGACAACCCAAGAAAAATAAAGACACCCAAGGCCGAGGTCATTAGCTTTCAATTTACTTTGAGAACCAAAAAATAAAGACGGAGAACTTCGTCTGTTCAGTTCCTGTATCAGCAGCATCACAATTTGAGGGAAATATCAAGCAATGTTTTGCTTTTTGTCAATTAATGTGGTAATACCCAATCAAATGCCATCCTTACCTCCATCATCATCATCGTCTTGTTCTTTACCTCCTACTTCTTCTTCTTCTCTTTCTTCTTCTTCTTCTTCTTCTTCTTCTTCTTCTTCAACTCATAAAGCTAGTTCTGATTCATCTGGTGCTTGCCCAGATTGTTGATGCCGTGTCGAGCGCGTGATGGCAAAGCATCTACGCGCCTTAATGACAGAATGTTATGGCACAATGTATTCGGCCCTGAAACAGGAGTTTTGAGGCAAACTCCTTCTAAAAGTGTCGCCTGCAGAGTCACAGACCTGAAAGGAAACATAGTAAGAAAACTAGTCGCGTCAAAATGGCAAAGTCCAATTCTATCCAGATGTATACCCAACATGGCTCGTAGTCCTAAGCCATCTGAACCAGCTCTACACATTCCTCTTCAACTTGACCATCTGCACCAGCAAAAGAGGCATGCCAGATTAAAAGATTCTCATAATAATTTTAAGAGGAGAGTTAGCCAGTATCTCACCAGCAAGATGGATTGCCTTGTTTGCTTGAGCATCAGCCTCAGAATTTAGGCCCTTGTAAAAAGCAGAAAAAATCAAGATAATGATAGTTTTTTGCAATGCAAAAACCAGCAATTGATGATACTCGATTCTAAGTAACCATTGCATGATATGTATCTCAAGATGTAGTTATGGGCAACACATGAGGACCTTTTGGAATGATTTTCTGCTTCAAATTACTATCAAGGCAGCTGGCAAGGTAACAAACAACAAGAAACTCCAACCTCTTTTTCGATAGAGCACGAGAAACAGCAACCTTTTTTTCTACCAAGGATTTCTGGCATCTTGGCTATGAGGTAAATAAAATTCAAATGCAAGTCATAGTTTAAGCAGCTGCAAAGAAGGTGCACTGAGAGAGAGAGAGAGAGAGGAAATTTTTCCAATCAAAAGCCCACAATTATAGCAGAAAAGAACAAAACTCCAAAAGTATAACCACACCAAACAGGCTTGAAAGAAATGGCTTCATCTTAGGTGGCAAGTAGATCACCTTTTGCAAAAGCATATTGCAGATCGATTCTGTGAAAAGTCGGTATGTAAATCCATAAGGCAAAAGTTCATCTTAGATTAAAGGATGCGTAACTATTGTTTTACATAAGCCACTTCCATCACCATTGATATGATATTCACAGTCTAGGAAATGATTAAGCACCCAAATTGCTGATAATAAATTTAAATTGTGTGAAAAAACAGACACATAGCTTGTGTGCCATATAAAATTCATAAGCAAATGGCGTCGAAGAAGATGAGGAATGAACTTAACTACAAGATGCAAAAGCAAAATTAGTTACCCTGAGAACATGGCTGATCTCAAATGAGAGAAAGTTCTCCTTCAATCTTTTGACCTCTTGAAACAACTCGGACATTTTCTTGTGTCTTACTTTCCATAAACCTTGAACCTGTCATCCAGGATTTGCCGACCAATATGCTGAATAACAAGGGCAATAAAACAGAAGCACATGCAAGCAGAAAAGCAACAAATCCCAAATCCCAATCTGTTACATTAAGAGAGTGATTGGAAGCTTAATTACACCGGTTATTGTAAGTACATAACATAAAGAAAAAGATACCTGGAGCATCAACATCAGGTACATTATTTAAGACCCAAATAAATAAAGAACGATAATAACAGAGCCTATGACTATGGTGAGTTACTTTGACTCTGAATCATGCATATTGCCACATAAATTTTCATGCGCTACCAGAGAAACTATCAAATTCTAGAATTTTAGGGCATGTCACTCCTTGGTGTCGTTCTGACACAGGAGTCCAATATGCCACGAAATTACTCAGAGATTCAGAAGGACAACCTATTGGAACTTAGAACAGGCATAATTTGAGAAACCAATTGAGATCCCAACTTGTCTTAAAGGATTCGGAGTACATCCAGAATATTAATGACTTAGGTGTCATATGAATATGATAATATTGCATGATGTATGGATTTTGAAGGATAGCAACCTGCATGCAGACAAGTTTGGAGTCGCCTCGAACACGAATGCTTCTACACCCCTTCTCCAGGGCATACCTCAGTCCTAAGATAACAGCTCGATATTCAGCAACGTTATTTGTGGCTGTACCCACACCTTCACGTAATACACATATCTGTATGAAGATACAAAGTCAGAGAGGCATTAGCAATGAGCAAAATTATGTAAACAAGCTAAATGTATACCACGCTTCCATCGTCTGCTCGCAATACAGCTCCTGCCCCAGCTATCCCAGGATTACCTTTTGATGAACCATCGAATTCAAGAATACAGGAGTTCTGCATACAGAAACCATCATCATGTCTTGCAAATGTTGCCACTTATTCTTTCATTTTTGTTAGCGAAAGACATTATTATGAATGATTTTACCTTTACGTTGCATCAGTACAAGTACTAACACATTTTAAAAAGTGATTAGATTTGATCACCATTTTGATAGACCAAACTAAAATGAAAACAAATTTAGCTTCACGAATGTGATGGGCTCAGCACAGAAACATTAATAAGTATGTCCCTCAAAGAATAAATTATACACGTTGCATCAGAACAAGTACTCACACATTTTAAAGATAATGGCGCCCCCTCAGCTTTGAGAATGGAGCTGACATGCTTTACAGATGGATCGGTCGAAATGGTCACAGAAACTTCTTCCTCCTGAAAGAAGGAGACAGTTACAGAGTGAACTTACCTGGCTAGATTGCAAGGACCATTTTAAGAAGCCAGAAAGAAAAGCAGAGAAGGACAAAGATTTCCTACGAATCACAAACCCCTATTATCCAAATAATTATAGTGAGTCAACAGTGGAGAGAAACTATGCTAGGTTCTCTCCCTAATAGCAACCCATATTCAGATTATGGCCCCTAACCCTGAGTGCTGTATATGAAATTTTCATAATTTCGAGCAAACCCAAAGATTTATGCAGAAGTAAGAAAGCACATCAATGTACTGAATACATCTACCTACCAATGCATCATGGGATGTCTCTTTGGGGCCATTAGTCTTAGTATCTTCGCCTGTGTATGCAGCAGGCTCCTGACCAAAAGCAATTTGATCAGTAATAGATCTCAACCCACCTCAGATGACAAAAATTTCAACGACATGAATTATCAACAGAAAGACACTACTTATGATATCATCACTCAACAAAAACTTCATTGGGGGAGAACGAAAAAATGATCCTGGAAAGCATGCATTGTCACCTACATGTGTAACTTGTGACCCTTACACATCTACCTCATGCTTAATTGATTGCCGCACCAATCCACCCAGACATACCTACTTCTAGCACGTTTTCAATTTGCCTCCAGTCTCCATTCAATACCGATAGTTCTCGAACTTTTCCTCATTATTTAAAGTCGCCTCTAGACCTTTTTCTTTTCAATGTCGTCTCTTAACTTTTAGTTTTCGTTCAATGTGGTCCTTCCAATAAAGATTGAATGAAATTTGCTGATGTGGCCGTTAAAATTACTGACTTGTTTTTTGTTCAATTTCTAACTTAAACTACTATATTTTAATTTTTTTCTCTCTATCAACCTTAGCTTAGGTATGGAGAACGTCATCAAATCTTCTACAAAACAGACCTCAATGACCCTTATCCTAAACTAGTAATTTTCAACACAACCCATTGACAAAATATACACACTACACGTGTTAATAAGTTCGCATAAGCTTAACCATAATGATTATAAACTCGTCAGGTATAAATTGACCCTTTAATCTATTTATGACGTGCTTGTACTCATTTAATTGAACAATTTGAATTGTTCCTTGTGTTAACATGACATGCATAGACATTCTAACAATACGTAAACACAAGAAAACATTTTTACATATAAGAATTCATGTTTTAAATGTTTTGTGTTGTGTAATCCATTTAATTAAAATATCATGTTTGGATTTAAATGCCCTGACATAATTAATAAACATTTTGTGTTGGGAATAAATCCGGTGCAATATTGAGAGAGAATAAAAGAATGGTTTTGGGACTAACTTGAACAAATAAACAAAGTACGGGAACGAAATTGAATAAAAATAGTGATAAGTTAAAATTATAAAGAATATTACGTCCACATCAACGGATTTTGTCGACGATCTTAATGGAATGACCACATTGAACCATTTTGAAAAGTTCAGGGATGACATTGAACAAAAAAGAAATGTACATATGACATTAAACAATGAGCAAACTTCAAAGACTATTAGGCTTTGTTTGTTTTGCGAAAAATGAACTGATTTGGAAAACATTTTCCTAAAAATGATCGATTGTATCGTTAACAAAAATGAACAAACGAAAAATATTATCATCATCCACGAAAATTTTTAGTCATAAATTGTTGTCAAAAAACAAACTTATTTCATTGACTAATAATTTCAAGCAAAGCGATCATTTTTAGAAAAATATTTTCCAAATCATTCATTTTCCGCGAAACAAACATATTCTTAGTGTCATTACCCCTTCAATTGCTGACAGTCCCATGGTCTCGGGGCTAAACACAATCAGAGAGTTAAGGGAGGGCAAGATTAATTTACTCTCAAGTATGCTCTTTAAAGTGATATAGTTCATTGTTCTTTAACAATGACATGAGGGCTCCTTCAGGAGGTATAAAGACAGAACGCAAAAATTCCTTCAGTACCTCAGAATGCATAGAAAATTGCATGACGTTTACGCTTATAGTTTTCTTTTGGCTGGGTGACAGAAAAAGCTATATCTCTAAGTGGTACAAAAAGCCATAAAGTGAGATTAATTAAAAACTACGGGCAAACATACTCTATTAGCAACTTCACCAAGCAAGACTATCTCACCTGAAGAGGACAAGGTGTAAGCATTCCAAAAAGATCATCCTTCAAATCAGCAACATTGATAGTGTAGATAGCATCTTTAAGCCCACGAGAGGCAAGATAATTCTCAGAGTCTGTAGACATATTATAGCCTTTGAAAACACTGACAGGAGGATCACAGACCTGTCATGAAAAAGAAAAAAATCGTGAGTTCAAAACTAGCACCAATAGACGCGTCAAAATTTCTTAAGCATTATTTACCGGGTAGTTTTGAGACATAATCTCAACAGCTACATATTATGCTGGCATTTGTCAGCCAGATCATTTGAACTAACAGAAACCGAGCAAAAAGTCATAAGCATTTCACAACGAAATTTTCATTGCATATCATGAGATTAGCACAACTCAACAGGTAAAATGCCTCACTGAAAGTCGTCATCACACTATAGAAAGCATGAACCACCTAAGCTTGAGTGCATAAAAAGCAAGAACAGAAGAAACCGAGGGGAAGAGCATCACGATCACATTGTCTGACTATGACACTTCGATCGTCCACTTCTCTAACACAGCTTATGGCATTCGGTGTCTTCAGACAAATAAAAAACGAACAGCTGAATAAACTAAACGGCAAAATAAACGCGATGCACATGAACCCAAGAGTCTCAACCCAAGAAAAAAGAACCAATGAAAAGGAATCCATTGAACATTAGCGCGATCGAAGCGGCAAAATGGTTATTACCGATGAACCAAGCTGAGCCTGGCATTCGAGGAAGCTCCTGTAAACGCCGACGACGTCCCCTTTCCTCACAACAAAGAAGGAATCTTTCTCCGGATCGACGACCGTCTTCGAGACCGGGCTCGCCGCCTTGGACCCGCCTCTCTTGCCTCTCTTAGAGGAATAGCATCGAACACCATATCTGCGGAGCACGAACTCCGAGTCCACACTTCGGAGAGAAGCATTCCGGAACGCTCGGCTCCAAGCGGGCGCATTAGCACCACACTTGACGAAAGAACGTCCGCCGATCAAAAGGGTGGCTCTTCTACACAGCGTCGCGGTGTAGGAAGGCACGCGGGACAAGCAATTCATGGGAGGGCCCAGAAGATTATCGGGGGTCGAGGTTCTGGGATGTGATGAAATTGGCCAGTCGATCAGGAACTCGAGGAATCAATGGGGGCGTAGTGATTGATTTCCCAGTTCCACGGATCCGGATCAAGCGAAAAGCGAGGCAAGACCTTGAAACAGAGCATCACCAGAACAGAGAAATCTGCAGCTGTTGAATTTGAGATTTTGTCGCCGGCCGATCCCCGCAATGACGGCTCTTGTCTGTGGGTTTGAGCGAGCGACGGTGAGTCCAAGTTTGGTCTTCGGTTTCGATAGGTTGGGCCGGGCCTGCTGAAAGCCCAAGCCGATGTCCTTGTGGTGGTGGTCCGGGCGATTATATTGCAATCGGGAAAATTGTTTAAAAAGTTCTAATCTCATTTCGCTTTTAACATTTTAATTTCACCGATTGAGTTTTACATCTTTTCACGTTTTGCTAATTGAGTTAATCCGGCTAATTTTGATCGGAAATCGCTAATATGGACGCCAGCCGTCCTACGTGGCACGACCGAACGTATACAATTTTTAATAATATTAATGTTTTTTATTAATTTCTTTTCTTTTATTTTCTTTTACAATTCTAGACGACGAGATCGTCGACCACAAGCGAGGGCCCACAACCCTCGTTGGCCACCGAAGGCATCGAGCCCTCGCCTAGATCCAAGCAAGGGCCGACACCCTCGCCTTTTGGCCGATAAGGACCGCAAGCCCCTCACCTGTAGTCAATAAGGCATCGCGCAAGTTATTGATGATTTTTTTTTTATAAGGGCATTGTGGCCCCGTTTTGATTCAGCTTTGCAAATGAGTTTTAGGGAAATGCAAATGGCTTTAACTTAAATCCCTTCGCCTGCGAGTTAGCTGCCGTTGCCCGAGGTCGTGTTACCCCCGGTGAGGGTTGTGTGACCCAGGCGGCCCTCATCGGGGTCGCGCAACCCCAAGCAACGAGGCCTAAGGTCGCGCGACCCAAGCAACCGCATCTTGGGCTGTCACGCGACCTCAGGCGGCCCTCACCGAAGTTGTGCGACCTCACTGAATCTGGCCTCGCCAACTATAGCCGGCCGCCCTTGCGCAAAGAAGATGAACAGTAACAACAATGGGCAAAATCAAAAAATTAAAGAATTAGTAAGGATAGTTTGGAAAGAAAAAAATTTAGGTACAAACCAACTTTGGGGCTTTTAGCCTTCCCAATGCTAGCTTTCACTTGAAAGCCCTTTAGGAAGGTTTGCTAAACACACCAACAGTTTCCCAAGAGGCTTTGGAGGCCGAAAGCTCTTTGGAAAAGCTGAACCAAACGGGGCTTATGTGATGGTTGGAGAGAATAATTTTTTAAACAAAAGGGGAAAAGAACCAAAAAAGTCCTAAACCTATTATATTGGTACCAATTCAGTCCTAAACTTTTCAATTGGACCAATTTAGTCCTAAACCTTTTCATATTTGTATCAATTCAGTTCATCCGGCCAATTTAGACCGAAAATCGCTGACGTGGACGTCGGTGCTAACATGGACAAAATTTATAATTTTTTAATAATAATTTTTAGATTTTTTTAATGTTTTTATATATTTTTTTCTCTTTTTTTTTTCCCAGAACTGGTTGGCTAGCGAGCCGACCATCGCTCGCCACAGGTGAGGGCGTCGAGCCCTCACCCAAATCCAAACAAGGTCCGAAACCCTTGTCTGTTGGCTAGCGAGGGCGGCGAAGCCCTCACCTGGATCTGGACGAGGGCCTAACGCCCTCACCTATGGCCGGCGATGGGAAAATTGTCAAATCAGTCCTAAACCTATTGTACGGCGGCCAATTCAGTCCTAAACCTTTCTAATTCTTGCCAATTCAGTCATTCCGGCCAATTTTTGCCGGCCGGCGCTGACGTAGCCGCCAGCCATCTGACCAACGCTGACGTGGCAATTTTTTATTATTTTTTAATCTTTTTTTCTAATTTCTTCCTCTGGCCGATCTGGCGGCCGGCCAGAGGGGAGGGTCGGCGAGGTCTACCTCGCCGCTGCTGAGGCAAGACCGACCTCACCGTCGCCTGGTTCGCGACGGCGAGGTCGAGCCTCGCCCAGATCTGGCGAGGCTCGACCTCGCCATCGCGACCCGTGACGACGGCGAGGTCGGCCTCGCCGCCACCGGGCCTCACCTCGCCCGGCGGCGGCGAGGCCGACCCTCGCCGTCGCGACCCAAGCGTCGGTGAGGTCGGCCTCGCCGCCGCCGGGCGAGGCGAGGCCCGGCAGCCGCAAGGCCGACCTCGCCGACGCCCGGGTCGCGACGGCGAGGCTCGACCTCGCCGTCGCGAGCCACGCGACGGCGAGGCGAGGCCCGGCGCAGCCGGGCGAGGTCGGCCTCGCCGCCGGGCGAGGCAAGGCCCAAGAAGGCGAGGCCGACCTCGCCGTCGCGAACCGTGCGACGGCGAGGCCAGCCCAGGCCAGCCGAGGCCGACCTCGCCGTCGCTGGGGTCGCGAGGTCGAGCCTCGCCAGATCTGGGCAAGGCTCGACCTCGCCGTCGCGAACCAGGCGACGGTGAGGTCGGCCTCGCCTCAGCAGCGACGAGGCCGGCGAGGTCGACCTCGCCGGCCCTCCCCTCTGGCCAGTCGCCGGACCAGCCAGAGGAAGAAATCAGAAAAACAAGATTAAAAAATTGAAAAAATAATAAAAAAATTGCCACGTCAGCGTTGGCCGGACGGCCGGTGCCGGCTGGCGGCCACGTCAGCGCCGGCCGGCCAAAATTGGCCATAAGGACTGAATTGGTAAGAGCTAGAAAGGTTTAGGACTGAATTGGCCGCCGTACAATAGGTTTAGGACTGATTTGACAATTTCCCTGGCCGGCGATGGTTGGCTCGACGGCCAACCACTTCTGGGAAAAAAAAAGAGAAAAAAATATAAAAAATTTGAAAACATCATTATAAAATTATAAATTTTATCCACGTAAGCGCCGACAATGCCACATAGGACCGCCAGCGTCCACATCAACGATTTCCGGCCTAAATTGGCCGGATGGACTGAATTGGTACCAATATGAAAAGATTTAAGACTAAATTGATCAAATTAAAAAGTTTAGGACTGAATTGGTACCAACGCAATAAATTTAGGACTTTTTTGGTACTTTTCCCTAAACAAAAGAAAAGATAAAGAAACCACCACGCTATTAATATAGACAATGAAAAGAACGGGAACATTTAGAAAGGAAGAATTACATGATTTGTTCTTTTGATTTGTGCCTAGACTTACTGTCGATGCATATCTTGAGTCGCCTAAGGCTCCGTTTGTTTGGCGAAAAATATTCTCTCGAAAAATATTTTCCGGATTTTCCGGTTGTTCGGGGGGCGGAAAACGTTTTCCGTGGGAAAATATTTTCCTTCCCCCCCTCACAAAATAGCCTAAGTCTATGGAAAATGACTTTCGCTTCTTCAAAAGCGGAAATCATTTTTCGGAGCTTCTTCTTCTTTTTCTTCACTAAGGTCGCCGGCCGCCACCGCCGCCGGTCGCCGGCCGCCGCGGCCCGGTCGCCCGCCGGCCGCCGCCGATCGCGCGGCCTCCGCCGCCGGTCGCCGGCCGCCGCCGCCGCCGCCGCCGTTCGCCCGCCGCCGCCGGTCACCCGACGCCGGTCCCCACCGCCGGTCGCCGGTCCCCGCCGCCGACCGCCGCCGGCGAAAAATATTTTCCGAAACTTTTTCATATTGATCACCGAACACCGGAAAATTATGTTCCGGGAAAACATTTTCAAAACATTTTCCATGAAAATGATTTCCGGGAAAATATTCTCCAAAAGGAGAATATTTTTCGCCAAACGAACGGAGCCTAAGTAGCATACTCTTTTTCCCGATCGAGTTTAAGTGACACAGATTCATATCTAGTTGTCACCGTCTTTAGTCAACCTCCATGAGGTGATTATATTTTCTAAATCCGTCGTTTTTTCACTCTTTGAACTTGTTTTTTCTTTAAATATAACCCAGACCTATTATAATCAGTATCTAATTAGACTTTGCTACTCTAACAACACATTCTTTAATTTTTAGCTAACCCATATACAACCTAATCCGCATTCGATATAAGTTAAAAAAAAAGTGGATTTTTCATCTATTTTGACACCTCTAATGGACATATCAAAATTCTTCCTAATGAGGATGGAAGTTGCAATTAGCAAAGATGGGGACTCTCGCAAACAGGACTACCATAACCGGAGCTCAAATGGTCACCTTGCTGCACTTGGTTTATATTGTGAGACTAGGATTTTCCCTGGAGAGGGATAGCAACCAAGTGTAAACAGAAAAAGTAAAGGCCGAAAGAAGAAAACATAACTCGCCATTTATCAATCTTCTTCATGCAGGACGGAATAATTTTCCCCCTCTGGGCATCCATAAGACAATTTAACCTAATGAAGTGTCGTTTGAGGTTAAAGCAACTTTTCCTCCGTATTTAGACAAAACACCGGTTAGCACGGCCTTCTCCTGGATCTTTAACCTGCATCGTCGAGTTGGTAGAACCATTTATATTACCCGGCAACACAATAACAAAATCATAAACTCATCTTCACTGTACTGCAGCATGCAGGAAATTACCGTTTAGCAGATCCCGGGACTTCTAGCTTCAAAACCTTCTCTGCTTTCCCTTTGCCAGCAGGCTTTTTGGGATTTGGCCGTGGTTTCTTTTGTTTTGGGGCGACTCTGGTGAGTGTTGCTTTCCCTCCCTGCTGCTCGGTCAAAGATGAAGCAGTGGCAATCTTTGTCCCTGATTCTAAGGTGTCGAAAGTCTCAAAATCTGACATATCAAAAGTCTCTGTATCCTCTCTAGTTTCATATTCATCTATTTTGATCTCATCATTCCAGTCATTCTCCTTTTCAGAAGTGAGATCCTCCAAAGAACCCGAAGTAGGCTCGTAGATGTCAGCATGCAAATCTGGCTCCCCTTCCATATTAGGCATGCTGATTTGAGAAGTCACAAGGGTGTTACTGGCCAATTCTGCATTTGCATGAACAGGGAGACGTGAAGTCATCATCTCGCATTTGATCTGCTTCTGAACCTTACCAAATGTTAAGCTCCGCCGAGAAAATGTCTGGACAAAACTGGCAAGAAAAGAGACATTCAGCATGCAAAAGGGAAACAAACAATGGACTGCTAGAAAGCAGTCTGCCACATGCATTGTTACCGACCAATAGCACCCAAAAACAAACTTAAACGAGGAAAACTGAATTCAGCCTATATGGTTTTCTTGGAATTCTACTAAAAAAACCACAATTAACCCTGGTGTAGTTTAACGATAAATAGGAAAGGGTATTTCAATGAATTATAGCTCCACAACTCATACAAAGCAGGCTATTACTCTATAGATTTCTGTGGCTGAAACGACTCTCTTGTTCAGTCTATTCCCTTCCCAGTAAAATTAGTACCTCATTGCATGCTCCTCAGACTTAAAATATACAAGTGCGAAGCCCGTGCAGACAGGATCTCTTGTTTTCTTGTTTCCAGAGACGACTGGATGAATACCGGTGATTCCATCAACTTCTTTAAAAGCCAATCTTAGATCTCTATGGATATTCTTCTTCTTAGGGAGGTTGGCCACACGAACAGGAATTCCGCTTGGAAGTGCCTCTGCCACTGAATTACTCAAAAACGTTGGAAATGAGATTCAAATGAGATGCAACACTATACTAGAGAAGACATCAAGCTACAAAAACCTGTTTCAACTATCAATGGAATGTAAGACCACTAACTAAATTGTATTCTGCACCAGAACCAACAAAGGCAGAAACTTGATACATGCAGGATGGATAAAGAGTCCTATGGGCCAATTACATCAAGGTGAAGTGACCAATTCCACAATCTGAATAGAGAGCGAGAGAGAGACACCTGTTCTACATTGACAAAGTCCACCGAGTGTCCTACAATAGCAACCAAATCGACAAGGTGCAACAGGACCATTACCTACTCTTCAAGTTGTGCAGCTCAAATCAAGCGGCGACTAACACCATAATTCCCGAGAGCACGGTGAAAAGAGCTCCTGATTTCTCGAAAAGCCCGTGCTTTTCTTTACTACCTAAGACTTCGATTTTCCCCGACATTTCTACACACATAGGTAAACGCACCCCTGACCTGAGTCCCATTGCATTTCTGGGCTAAAGGGTCTCATCAGATGACAAGCAACTATATCAACTTGTCACATGAAAAGGAGGAGGCAGATATGCTATCCTCTAATCTAGCAGCAATTAGATCATTCAAGGCTATCTATCCATGTTCTATGACAGAAGTGTAAAGTCAAAGTGAGTGTAAGAACAAGATAAAGGAAAAAAAAACCACGTACAATTTAAGGTTGTCCAAAACAAAAGAAAAAAAATTACCGATCAAGGCCTAACCTTTGAGGCGTGGCTCGTCTTTCCCGGGAGGGGTGGGCGTGACGGGATTGTTGAGCTTATTGATGTTAGCAGCCTGAGCCACCCGACTCTGGTGCATTTCCTCGAGCAGCTTGTCCTCAAGAGAAGTGTCGTACACTTTCCCAACCCCAAACCCAGGCGGCTTGTTCTCGTGCCACCTGGTCATCTTCTCAAACGGCGAATACATCCCTTCCTCGTCCTCGTCCTCGTCCTCTTCCTCCTCCTCCTCCTCATTATCATCGTAATCATCATGATCATCATCACCATATCCCATTACTTTACCACTCCTCTCCAGACCGTCCGCCTCCAAGTTGCCGCCTTTCCTGCGCCTCCGCGAGGCGCCGACCCTAAACCCGCCGTGCCTCCGCCCCGGAACGACACGAACGTCGAAGCGGGCGCCTCGGAACCGCGGCGAAGGAGGGACGAGGGAACGAAGGGGAGGGCCGGCGAAGAGCGATTTGGACGGCGGCGGGCTCGAGCGTCGATAGGAGACACGAGTCCCGAACGTTGGAGGGACCAACAACACTAAAGAGGCGGAGGCGGAGGAGGAGGAGGTGCAGTGGCGGCATGAAAATGGAGGGAGATTCGCGTTCAGAGCTACGGTCAGCATCGTTGCCGCTTCCAGGAGTTTGCAATGTACGGGCAAAAGGTCATCCTTAAAAAAACATCTATTACCACTATATGATATATCTAAATATAATGAAGACATCTTTTCAACAAGGTGTCGTGGTGTAGTTGGTTATCACGTCAGTCTAACACACTGAAGGTCTCCGGTTCGAGTCCGGGCGACGCCACCTATTTTACTCTCTGTTTTTACTCCTTTGCAAAATGATTTTTATATCTAATGTTATTTTTGGTCGGATATGAATTAGTTTCATTTGGAGGCCCATGGTATGTATAATGCATTTATTTTGTAATTCTATCGTTAATTTGGTCGGATATGGATGATTTTTATTCGAATGCCCATTAAATATGTATAACGCTTTTTATTTTGTGATTGTATAGCAGCCAATTTATAAAAAAAATATATTTCTGAAAGAGAAAAGGAGTTGGATATTTTAAATGGTTATCCTTTTTTTCCTCTCTTTATATATATATATATATATATATATATATATATATAAACGATGGGAATGGGAACCCTTAGATAGGTGTACTAAATTACCTTTATTTGCTCGTTGTGCGTTCGATATGCACGACATAGGTGGCTACATCATCATCGACCCTGATATTTTCTACGTATTGGAAGTGAGTAGTTGAAGGTCCGGCCCACGACAAGAGACCCAAGTGGAGTCGCACATTTCAATGTTTGGTCACCATTTTACGCAATCGCTCAAGCTTTTATTCGTAACTTGCATATACTTTTTTCTCTAAGGTTTAGCCAACAAATAGAATCCAAAACACACATTCGGGCTTATGTATTTAGAGTTTTTTTTTTTTTTACCATGCTTCGGGTTGAAATTCACCCGAAACGTGGTAAACGGGTTTCATTGACAGATCAATCGAAATTGTTGTGGGCTTTAGAGTACGATAACCCAATTCAATTTTATATCGATTTACCATCGACATTAATACATTTACAATGCGTTTGGTCGTCTGGATTTCTAATCAGGTAAAGATTTTGCTATATCATATATACTGTTTGGTAAATCGCAGTAATAAAGCCTGTTTTTTTCAAATCTATCTTGTTCATTATTTGGTATGAACGACATATCAGTATAAATGAACTTAAAAATTCACAAACGATGATTGTAAGAATCTCTCATGATTCACTGCTAAATAAACTATAAATATATAAATCGAGGTAACCTCCATCAACCAATCCATGATTATTGTACGATATAAGTTTTAAATAGCAAAAGAGCTCATTGAGGCATTCCAAAACCACAAGTTTGACTATGACAAGAAATGTAAACAGGTTACAACAACATCGATAAGGTAGATCAGCTAGCAAATACCACACCTACTTTGAGAGAGAGAACACATGATCATTCATCTTTGCGGTTCTGAAAAGTATAGTGTTTTGATTCTCTTGTCACTTTTGTGAAACTTCAACGTGAATTACAAAGTCATGGAGGAGAAGAAGTTTCGACTCTCTTGTTGCTTTTGTGGATATTGATGTGAACTAGAGAGCTATGGAGGAAAACAAGCTTTAACACTCTTGCCGTTTCGTGAAGCTTTGACGTGAACTAAAGAATTACGAAGGAATTGTGAAGTTTCAACATGATCGAGAGATATGAAGGAGAAGGAGACGGAGAGGGTATTTTATTAAACAATAAACTATACCGATATATCTAAAATATGTAATAAATATTGATACTAAATATATATACACATGATAGATATTATAGAGTATAAAGAAAATGTCCATTATAGTCTTTGAACTTGAATTAATGGAACAATTACATTGAACATTTTCATATAATTCAAGGACTAAATTGAACATGTACCAAAAGTTCAAGGACCACATCGAGTAAATTGAAAGTTCAGGGATCACATTGCATATTAGGTTAAAGTTCAAGGACTAGATTTGAACAAATTAAAAGTTCGGGAACTATATTACATACTGGGCCAAAGTTCAGGGACTGTTTGTGTTATTTTCTCATTAATTTAATAAGTTTATTATTCATTTTTATCCCAACTCCCTCGTGGGATATTTTTATTCAAGTTATATCCCTCTTATACCCGACTTTATCATATTTGAAGTATAAACCAAAAGCAGGATAGGATAATCATATCTTGATTTTTATCTCGGAGTCTCGGGGCATTTGCGGATTTGTCGCTCCAAGCACCATCTATCGATGATGGGCTCCTCGAAGGAAAAAGGAAAAGAAAGAAAATCCAAAAAAACCAGCTGGTGCCATGCTAATAGTTTTAATAGTGACCTACCCCTCCTACATAGAACCCACAAAACTTGTCTTTTTCTTTTTGTGCAATTTGCAAACTATGGTCCTCAAAAGATGGACTATGCATCCCCACGCACTTGGGGAAGGGCCACGTGAATCCATCGCAAGATCTCATGCGACATCCCGTGGTGTTTACATCAAGATTGAGAAAGTATGGGAATCCCATCGCAAAATATTTGATACTCGGAAGAAATTACATTAGATTTTTTGTGTTGAGTAAATAGAGATTACATCTACTGTCACGTTACAACATGCATACGCAAGCCTACAAATAATTCAACATTAGTTCTGAAGGTGGAAATGAGAAATACACCAGTGCTAGAGTTTTTACTTGAATATCTAATAAATTAAAGGTGAAGAGAAGCGATCAACGAAAATTACGATGCCGAGCGATTTGATGAAATCAAAAATTTTAGGACGAATAAAACAATCCCATGATTAGACAATAGTGTTTATGGGCTCATCCTAGTTTGATGCTAACAGGAGACAAATTACAAGGAAAGACATTGCATACCTCGGCCCCAAAACTTGGAGAGACGAAAAGAGAAGGGACACGTGTCATTCGTATAAAAGCTTCCCGGACCCAATTGAAAGATAATCCCTGAACCTTTGGACATATTGGATTTAATATATTTTCGCTCGAAAATTTAAATCAATAAATTATGAATAAATTAGAATGTGTCAACCTGTTGCGCAAGTTACAAGATCTCCCATGTGGGATTTCGACTAGCACCCTTACACACCAAGAGTACATTTAGAGGGATCTTATTTACCTGACTTTCTGAAATTTTTAATAAGTCCCAAATACGAAAAATATGAGTTTACATATGTAACCAAAGTTTAAGTACCTCATTAGTAGGATCCTCTGGTAAAAAAACTTCCGAATTGGTATTATTTTCTTATCCATATTATTACATAAAGTAAAGAGAGTCTCTTATTATTAAGAAATCTCGATAATCCCTTAATAATTCCCTAACTACTTATTTTGCAATTTCTTCGTATAATGTATCAATTTTTTTCTATGTAATCTTAAATATCCATGCAATTTCTTCATATAGTGTATTTTTATTAATCATTTCTTTCCGTTATTTACTAATTGAAATATTTCGTAATTAAATGATTTTGCTTAATCTTTGAATGTCGATTTCTCACGCACACACGCAATATTGTATGCTTTTGCTAGTAAGGACCAAGGTTTTGATAGGTGAAGTCAATACTTCTTTCCCGCGATTCCTCGAAAAATTAAGGATCGCTAATCCTTTTAAAAATCGAATGGATTCGACCTCATCCATGGGAGATTAGAAGCTGGGGGTCAGCACTTCTGCTTCAAGGCTTGAGAGATTGGTCCAATGACTTTTGATGCCAAAGAACAAATTAGGTTAAGAGTATATAGACAAAGCACTAAGCACCCCTGATAAGCTTTTCCTCGGAAATTGCTACCTTTCCTATTGCACCGCCGGTCAAAACTTAGACTCGTAGCCACTAAATGTTTATCAACATCAGATGCATCATCAACAGTCAAATTAAACTAATCAGTCACTAATCAAAGCCACCACCACGCTATAAAACTATAGCTAGAGCAGAACACGATTGAGCCTAACAAAATAAAGGGGAAAAGAGAGAAGCCCCCCCCATTAGTCATTGCGTGATGAAGCAACGCATTGAAATTGAAGCTCCAGCAATCATTCTATGCATCGAAAGCCAACCCTTGCCACCTAATATTCAAAACTAGTGTTCAATGGCGGAGACTTGAATTGTCAATTACAAAGAGGGGAGGATGTCTCAATCGTATGGCTCGCCGACCATATATGTAAAAAGCTTTGCGAATGGGGTCCCGATTGGGGTCAAATTTTTCAGAGCTTGTGCAAAGTTGGGATAGGAACTGATACCAGAATCCTATGGTCCAAAACCAATATAAGATTCATCGAATAAGACCATGATGCTTTGATTAAATTTATCCGTATGTATACTTAACATTCATGTGTCTTCATGTACATTTTATACGATTCTAAAGATATCCCAATAAGAAAAAAGGAAACCCCCCAAAACATCCCCGTTTCTGATCCCGGGGGATATGCAGATTGTTTTGTTTCATTCATGTTACTCAATGACACATACGCCCATCACTTGATTTTATATCTACCCGTGGATGCTTTCAAGCACCATAGTCAAATGGTCGTTTTGGATCCTACGCACGTCGTCGTGAGGTCACCCTTCATTCACGCACAGTAGTGCACCCTACCTCTTGAGCTCTTGTGGAAGGATGGAACGTTTCATCGTCAAATTGGCAAATGAATTCAATATGGTTGGGGCCCTTGATCAGCAGCAGCAGGGGTCCGGTGCTTGATCCGACCAATGGAAAACAAGCAACCAAAACCCCGCATGTACAAGTACTCGATAGCAACGTATGAACATTGAATAACAAAAGAATAGTGGTGGGGGATGATGCTAATTCTATACTATAAGATCTGATAGTAATGCTAGGCTCTATACACATCTTGGATGTTATCATTTGAAGTTTGAAACTGGCGTACGCCCACTTTTTATCTCGAACGAGCTTTGCTCTTCATTAGATCACGAACGCTCGCGAAATAGAACGAGCTTGGGATCTTTCTTTTCAAGAACCACCGTGGCGTTCCTATTTACTTTTGTTCTTTTTCGCTTTCTTGCTCGTGCTTGATCCCATGCCCCCAGTAGAGCCAGTAACATGCGATGACCTTCGCCAGGATGTGGACTT